AAGAAGCTGGCGGGGCACAAAGCTGCTGTCTGAAGTGCTGTCAGAATGTGTCTGCGGACGTACAGTGAAAAAGAACAACCAACCAAAGCCATGATTGCAATGGACAATCACCCGAACCTCTCCCGATCGTCTGTGTTAGGCACGCAGTGAAAATATCGACAATAGCTAAGAATCGTTCCACATTGAAGGGGTCTTCCACGCGTGTGATGAGTCAAAAAACATTGTCTACGATTCACGTAGCCCCCAACCTCCCCGCTACGCGCTGCAGCGCCAACAAGAGACCCCCCAGGCCCGGCGGCGGCGGTTTTGCTTTCCTGCCCGTAGCACCGCTACAACGCTATCCGCTGCCCGCCTGCCTGCTGCTACGCACCGCCGCTATCCACATACCAAGGAAGACGAAACAGAAAAGACTGACCGCAAAGAAGCAGCAGGAAAGCCGTCGGGAGACAATGGCTCCGGTCGGACGCGCAGTTGGGGGGCTTGTGGTTGTGTGCGCATGCCTTGCGCCTGCCACTGACGCGTTCTTCACCGGCGTTGCGTTGCCTTCCAGCCGAGCAGGAGGTGAGACAACCACACCCGCCATTCTCAGGTTCTTTGGGACTGCACACCCCGTAGTATTCGCACCTCGAAGTAGCAGCAGTGATATTCGTTGTGGACACGGCCGTAGGGCTGGAGCCGGAATGGCTCGGCTGGAAAGCGCTGGTTCAACTTCTGACCGCTTCTATGTCGCTACCTTTGTGTTTGTGAGGATGGGAAAGGTCTGCTCCAGCGTGTGAGGTTGGCAGGCTGCACACGCCTAAGACCTCGTGTTGGTAATTGGTTCACCACGCAGCCCTTGCTGGTGGCCCTATTGCTGGCAATCGCCGCTGTTTGGGTCCGTGTTCGTTTGTTTCGTGCGTCCGACACGTGCAACCCCTCATTTTTCATCGCCCACCTTTGAGACAAAGACGACTCATGTTGGTTCATAATACATATCCCGACCGTTGTATGCCCCGTAGTGACCGACCTTGTCAGCCCTGTCGCACTGGAAGTGTGCCCATGGCCACAACCGTTGGCGACAAATGCCCGAACCTCAGGATACGGCAGCCGCGTAGAAAAAAAGGCCCAGCTGCCCGAGCTGGGCGGCTTGCTGAGACACGCGTAGACAGCGCTCGAACACGCCCCGCTGGTTGCTGCATCTTGATGTCAAATAACTGCCGCCCGTGATGGTACAAAACTTAGACTTTGCACTGGATGAGCGCCTGATTACAGCTCTCTGGCTCAGTGCCCTCGACCCACAAAGAAGGCCAACGCTACGGCATGTTCCAGTGACTGCATTGACCACCCAAAAAAGCTTACACGTGACGCCTTGCCGTGCTGCTGAATTACACTAGCCTGAGAGCTGTCTCTTATCCAGCGCTTGTGCTCTTCCTTGATCAACCAGAAACTTCGTTCAAAATGTAGTGTATACGTGTCAATAGCCTGTCTCTTTGGCGGGATAACCCCGTTTTGGCGTCGTGTCTCTTCTGTGCTTGCTGCTGGAGCGCTTGTTGGTGGCTTCAGCCTGTAAACGCCCGAAAGTGATATATTATTTGAGCTTCGGTGTCTACAGCGCAATGTAATTTTGATCAGCAACGAAAGCCCCGCGCCCAGCGGCCCGCGCCCCGGTTACCATCCGCAAAGATCGGCACGCCCACAAATAAGCTTGATCGATCAGAAAGAGTGGTACCAACGTCTATCCCCCTATAACTTCGGGTGCTTTCGCTTGTAATGGGTAGCGGGGGTTACACCCCCCTCGGACTTGGGATTCCGCGTGTATGTATTGATTAGAATAAGCTCCCGCTCAACGTGCCAGTATTGAACGCAGACGCGATCAAACCGTAAAGATTAATTAATCAGCGCTGACTAGTCTAATGGTTTAATTTCGGCTTGCGAAGATGCCAACACTGGCATACGGCAAGGGCACAAGACCAGAAGACGGTAGGGGGGCGTTCCGATGTTTTCCCACGCCAACGACACATGTAGCTGTGGGGTTGACAGGATAGCGATGCCAAGCCTAATGACTCAGGGCGTTCCTTTCGTCCCCCTACAGCAGTAAATAGTCGACTCCGCTCCCGTGTTTGCAAACTTTCGCAAGTTTGGACGCTCCTGCGCTTGCCCAAAGCAGCCCTTCAGTCTTCGTTTTTTATGGTGCCTGCCTGTCCTATCCAGTTTTTGTTTTTCATGGGATACTTTTTCCCGGGCTGAACAGCCTACCCGGCGGTTCGTTTGTTTTGGCCCCGCAGAGTGTATAGTCCCACGCACTACCCGCTCCGCTGCCGTCGTGCACAACGTGGGCCTGCGGAGCAATGATAGATTTTGAGCATTTTCCGCGCAACGACTGTCCCTGCGATCGTCGGAGCAAGGGACTTGGCGAACGGGCCAACTCAGTGCCCTTTGCATTTCTTCAACAAGCCTCATGTTTTGTGCGCGTCGGATTGTGCCAGGCGTACGCTCGAACCAACACGGCCAGGCATCGTGACTGGCTTTGAACACCGTTTCACCTTCTCCTCCTCTTGGAACTCCTGTGTGTGCCGCTTTTTTTCTCCCTTCCTCACACGTATCATGCTATCGTTCGTGCCTGTTGCTCGCGTCGAATCGGGGACCCGGAATTTTTTTGGAATATTCGACTCTTGTTTGTGTTTTGCATTCGTCCGTGATCGAGTAGCGGCGAGGGGCGGGAACGGAGCTCTTGAAATGGCCAAGCACAGGCAGAACAAGGGCACCAAAAAGCACGTCAAGAACAGGCCGCGCAAGGTGAGCATGCACCCCCCCGACTCGGACTCTGGCTTACATTGCATGTATCCGCACTTGTCACTGCCGTTAGTGCTGGTTGTGCTGGTGGTCTTTTCGGGCCGTTGCTGCCCTTGTCGTGAGTGCAGGTTTGCGCTGTGGGCAGTTGGCTTTGGGGTTGTTGTCGCTGTCGAAGGTGGATCCGTCATCGCGGTGCTGACGCTGTCGTATATAACCTGTGTGTCAGCTCTGCGACGTCCTGGCGTGTGCTATGGATGTATTCTGCTTTTTAAGTTGATTTCTGATGTTGCAAACAAGATCTGCTTCATGTATGAAGACTCCACCCTTTGTTTTCGTTGGCCCCTATACATATCGTGCAATTAACATGTATTCAAGTCCAAGTCAAACCATTTGAATAGCCATGGCTGACACGTCTAATGGTTTGATTTGAGGCTGTTTTCAAGCATGTGTAGATTCGAAATCAGCCTGCCCGCTCGAGGACCCGATGGTCAGATTCTTGGCTTGGAAGGGTTTCGGGTTAGTCAGGCGTGTTGCTAGCCGACCCAGTTGTTACGGGATGTGCGTTCGATCGCCGCAGTGGGCCACCTCCCCTTACCCGACGGTCACACTAGCGTTTACTATGCGCTGGATTAGACTATACCGTGCAACACGAAACCCTGAGGTTTCCGGTACAGCACGCTTCCCGCCCCGACTCACCCTTCCGGACGCTGGAACATTGATACAGTGGGCTACAAAGGCGAGAAGCTATGTTGATAGGATAGGGAAAACGGCTTTGGAGTTACTTTGGCGAAGTAGGAGGGAACCCTGGGCCATCGGTGGCCGGTCCTGTGGGAACAATGCTCCGTCCTCTCGAGGACGCGTGGTCAATGGTGTTATTATCATATCATCAGAGTACATCCGCCGCCCTCCTCCCGACAAAGAATCACCCCTATTGTTCTTTTCTGTTTTTTGACAGTCCCGCCTGTCAGACCGGAACCGCAAGCCGACCGACTACTCGATCGAGGTCAACACGAACGGCAACTTCCCGGGCGCGCCGCCCGTGTTCGAGCTCGAGTCGGAGCCCGAGGAGGGGATCGACACCAAGGTGTGCACGGATTGACTGACTGGTTGCTGTATGTCCTTCGGAGGAGGCCCTTTTGGGTCTTCAGGCGTTCTGATGGATTTATGGATAGATCACTCGCATATGCTGGTGTGCGGGCATGCCATGGAGTTGCCGCCCGGTATTCCTTCACGCTAGGTGTTCGCCGCCGCTCGGTGCTTTACCTAGCTATTAGACGAGCCACAGCGAGTTTTGGCGCGGCGTTCCTTCTGTCGTTATCGGTTTTGTGCGTTGTTGTTGTTCGGGGCTCCCGCCCGGTTTTGGGCGTTCTTGGTTGTTTTCGAGGGATCGAAAACCGAGTTTCACAGGTGGTGCCGTTGACAGCCTCTTGTTTCCCGTGTTTGTCGGGGGGTTTTGTGCGTTGAGAATCCCGGCGTTTGGTCGAAGGCGTGAGAACGGGGGGTGGAGGGTTCGGTGCCGTGTCAAGGATTTTTTTTTTACTCTGTGTACTGACCCTGGATGGTTGTAGTTGTACGAAAACATACACTGAAAAGTATAGTAGACATCTCACCACGAAAAACGGGGGGACTGCTGTCGCCAAAAGAAATAGGTCGAAAACATAACACATCTTTGGCTCTTGCACGAAATGTAGGTCCTTCGTCTCGCCCTCACTCTGACTAATGCCCTTCCTGCCTGCCGCCTTGTCCCTGTCACTGCTGCTGCTGCTGCTGCTGCTGCTGCTTGCGGTCATGGCATCGCTTCACTTGAGCCAGGCGTCGGTGATCGAGGCACTCGCCTCGGCCGAGTGGGACGCGGAGCAGGCGGCCAAGCCGGCTGTAGACGAGAGCAAAGAGATGGAGGTCATCATGGGGGGCGACTGGAAGGTCCTCGAGACAGCTTGAATGAAGCACACCGCCATTGTTTTCGTGGAGGAAATAGCTTTGGGTAGTAAGTTGGTCTGTGACCGCGGAAGGCAGTCGTATCAGTAGTCGAGTGTTAGTAGGTACCGAGTAGAGAGACCGGAACGACTTTTATCGTGACGACGATAGCAAGGGAAAGAACCAGCGGGCCCAGCGACCGATTGATTGGTCGATCGCGGTGTCGTCGCCTCGATTGTGGCTACTACTATATTTTGTCATCGCTTGATTTGTTGTCGTCTCGTGTTGGTGGGCGGGGTGGCTAAGCTGCACACCAAATCCCGTGAACAATCGGCTCTTTCTGAATTCGTTCAAGTTGGTCGAGGTGCGAGACGTGGGAAATCTTTTTGGGTGGGTACCGGGCAAGCTGTGTGGCTGTCGCGACCGCCCAATGCTGTTGGTCTAGAGTTGGGGCTGCCTGTCGTATCGTAGGCGGGGGACTTTTGTTACTTTGGTCCCTGCTACCCATTACCCTAACCGGGGGGACAGGTGGCGTTAGCGCCCCGCGGCTAAGGCTTGTCGAGTTCGCGAAGTAGCCCGCAGGGTTGCCTCACGTGCAGGTATACGGTCGCCTCACGGGCAGCCTTACAATCCGTCCTTACATGATTGAATACCGTTGTTCTTGAGAGGCCTAAGCTAGACGGGTATGCAAGGCCATCCGCCTTAGGGGTTAGCTGGCGTGTTTTTTTTTCACCCATAGCATAGCGTGTGCTTAAGCCTGCAGTCGTAGACGACGGCCGTTGGAGAACCAAGACCTCAGCTTTCCCAAGTGCCCTTTGTTTTGTCCACCTTGCTGTGTTTGTCCCTTCATGCTCGCGATATGTTCGTGCGTGTGTGTGTGGTCCGCATACGCGATAACGACAAGTTCGATCCCTTTCTAGTTCGGTTGTTTGTCCATCCGGATGGCTACTGATCATGGCGACAGACATATGTAAGCCCTCCATCATAGACCGATTCTGAAAGGACCAGAGGCGGGGGCGCAGAATATCATACCATGGAGGGCGTGTATCCTTTACGTGCCCCTTGACCCGGAAATATCGTCGCTGGCGGCGTGCGCGTTGGCGATGCCAGCCGGCGCCACGGATGGTACAGCAGATGCAAGCCACGGGCTCCCTTAAATCGCTCGGGGATATGCATAGCAGCCCCCCAACCTCAACCCAAGCCGTGCTACTCTTTGCCAGGCAGGAGTGTTTTGGTGGGGCCAGCAACTCATTCAATCGCCCAAGGATGGCTTGAGAAATGACGTTAATGTTTTGCCTAGGATCACCCAGGCCTCGCTGATGCAAGCACGGCGCCAAGAGCGGTGCTGTAGAGGAACATCCGAAGATTCAGCGTCGATCGTGTCCACTTTTCTCCGGTTCTAGTGTGGGGAGGTACTCCCCCTGGAAATAAACGAAAGACGGCGTGTGTTTGCCAGGGATCTTGGCGCACATTCCTTGGCGATCATTTTTTCTCGGCCGCAGACAGGCAGTGCTACAGCAGTATAACCCTAACCCTAACCGGTCGCCCGGGTTGTTGTTGTTGTTGTTGTTGTTTCTCACATTAGCTCTAAAAAAGAAAGTTTGGGAGCCCGTGGTCTCAAAACCCGGCATACACGACCCCACGAAGAAACAGAAAAAAATAGGGTACAAAAACCACTCGGAAGAGAAACAAAATGATAGAAAGAAAGACCAGCTACCGCACCAAACGAGAAAGAGCGTCGAGGAGACCGATCAAAATAAAATAAAAGGAGAACGGGGAACGCTTCCCACACCCGCCTACAACGCCGGAGGGTTCCGTGCCGGGTTCCCGCCGACCAGGCATCCCCCGCCCTGCACCACACCCCAGGGGGTGCAGCAAGACGGGGGGCGAAAAACAAACACATATATATTCCCACAAAAAAAATATAATTGAAGGACAACGTGGTCTAGTGGGTAACCTCACAGCCTGCTAAGGCCAGGGTATGGGTTCGAGTCCTGACAGAGTGAGTTTTTTTCTCACTTAATAAATCCTGGTCTAGGATGAAAGCGACGTGCTGCAAAAGCTCGTTGTTCGTAAACCATAATCGGCTTCGTAAGTCGCGAGGGATGGGATTGCTGTAGATCTATCTACCCTTCTCGCGATAAAAATACCTCTCTCAGGCAGGAACCGCAGGATGGGGTCCAGCCCCCCCCTCCTATGTGACCCCGGTTGGGTCGTCTACAGTGCCGGCATTCGTCAGGCCGATTTCCCCCTCCTATGTGACCCCGGTTGGGTCGTCTACAGTGCCGGCATTCGTCAGGCCGATTTTTGTTGACCGGCCATAACTTCACGAGTTTTTCACTTTTTTCAATTTTTTTTTTTTAGTAGTAATCTACATCCTATTTGCCACAAGAGTTGTTTAGGGACCAAATCGAGCGTTCCTGGAATTTCATGGTTTTCGTATAGGATTTTCAAGGCATTTCTGGGGGGGGGATGATAACTCTTTGTCTAATATTTCGGCAACCACGAACTCAAAACATACATCCCGCATCTCCATTTTTTTGCTTTGTATCGGCGGGGCTTGAGTAGAGAAGAACGAAGATACTCATGAAAAAAAAAAAATGTTGATATGTGTGTGTATGGCGCCTTCCTGGGGCGGGACAGGAAATGTGGCCCATGAGCACCGGCTTGTTTCCCATGTATGTTTGATAACTTCAATCGACTGGAGGCCCTTCTATACAATGACCCCACGATACCCACGCACGTTGCACTCGTCATTTTTGCCACTACTGAACGTTATACGCACGGCCATACATACTGTAGCACACAGAGAATCCGCCAACGAAAAGGGGGAACAAAACAATACACCACGCACTGCAACAACGCCACTGACAACAACACGCAGACAGATGAGNATCGACTGGAGGCCCTTCTATACAATGACCCCACGATACCCACGCACGTTGCACTCGTCATTTTTGCCACTACTGAACGTTATACGCACGGCCATACATACTGTAGCACACAGAGAATCCGCCAACGAAAAGGGGGAACAAAACAATACACCACGCACTGCAACAACGCCACTGACAACAACACGCAGACAGATGAGAACCTATTGATACACCCATGTCGACATATTACGTACGTACGCTTCAACACCACACAACACAGAATAAACGTGTACATCACGTAGGGTTTAATGTACTCTGACGGAGCCGGCTTGCGGTGAGACTTAAAGGTGTCCCTCTTCTGTACTGCTTCCGCGCCCTGGAGTCCGTCGCGGTACACCTCGTTGAAGTTGGCCACCGTCCTGCAGAACTTTTGCACAATTGCTAGACTCAAGCGGTCTTCGGCCACCGCGTAGCTCTTAGAAACATTGGTCCGCAAGCACGCGATAGTGTACTTACAGTGCTGCCGGACCCAATACTTGGATCTGCTCCACACTAGCTCTACTGTAGTCGCGGTGCTCAAAGTACGCTGGGAGGTACTTCTCGACCCGGTACGCGAGCACGTCTTTGCGGTCATGGCCGTCAAAGTACAGGCCCGACGTGCGATCGCGGTACTCGCACCCCAGCTTGTGCAGCCAGGAGCGCGCCGTGCGAACGGTCACCGAGTACGACACCACTATCTCTCCTGATGCCGTTTCAGTCGTCGTCTTGGTGACAGGAGCGTGCTTGAAGGGGTCGTAGTCGCACGTTTTGGTGTCTGCTACCTGTGGCAAGACGTCCTTGTTGAGGTACTCGCGGAAGCCCTCGGCTGTCATGTTGGGCTCCCCATTTTTGATAGAGTTGACTCGGATCCATTGGCGTACCATCACGAGAAGACCCTCGTCCAAGCTCAGGATCCACCGCCGTTCGTGTTTCCCCCTCTGGTCCACCTTCAAATACAGCAAGGGTGCACGCGACAAAGAACACCGCAGTGTCGAGAGAAAGGGAAAGGGTGGCTCAAAAGCATGCACGGGTGCGGGATGGAAAGGGTGGCTCAAAAGCATGCACGGTTGCGGGATGGAAAGGGAGCAATAGCGCATGCGTTGCACGGAGGGAGCATGTTCACAGCAACGGCCGGCGAGCTTGTTGAGCAACAGCAGTACTATTTTATGTTCATCGCCACATACAGAGTCTACGGCACGCACATTTTTCATTGCGGTTGAAACGGATGTCTGGTACATATTTCCTCTCACCTGGACATGGCCCTTGGTGCGGTAGGAAAGCGCCCACTCACGGAGGGTGCTGGATGCCACACTTAAAAATACTCCGCCGTTTCCTCGAAAGCTTGCCTCTTGGACACCCCTANAGCTCCCACTCACGGAGGGTGCTGTCCGCCACTTCAAAAAACTCCGCGGTGTCCTCGAAAGCTTGCCTCTTGGGCGCCCCCTTGAGCAGCTTGTGGTACACTCCTTTCAGAGCCAAGGCCTTGAACTGCAGGCTGCCGGCTTGCGCATGCAAGACGAGAACAGACTCCTGCATGTACGTAAGGTAGGAAAAGGGGGAAAATCAATGGTGAGATCATCGGGACAAGCAGCGGGGATGAAAGACAAGGGTGGGGGCGGAGTGGTTCTTGCGGCCCAACAGTCGCGCGCAACTNCTGCAGGCTGCCGGCTTGCGCATGCGAGACGAGAACAGACTCCTGCATGTACGTAAGGTAGGAAAGGGGGCAAAATCAATGGTGAGATCATCGGGACAAGCAGCGGGGATGAAAGACAAGGGTGGGGGCGGAGTGGTTCTTGCGGCCCAACAGTCGCGCGCAACTTCACCCAGACATGTACATGGGCGGCACCACATCAAATACATACGGCAGCCGCAGGAGCAGCATAGCGACAACTGCACAGNTCGAACGCCCCTGGCGAGAGCTTTACAAGGCAGTGGTGTTTTTTTTTTTTTAATTCGATGGGCAACGCTTCTTTTTTTTTCAAACCACCCCAAAAAAACGACCCACTTGATAGAACTGTATGGGCTGCACCAGCGCTGTCTGGATCCATGCACTTGGGCCGTCAGCTGCACACGATACTTCTTCGGAGCCTTGTACTGATGCACACTCACCAGCTTACCACTACGATGAGCCAAGGTTGCCAGTATGGTCGCCAGGGACTTGTCGCGCAGCTTAAGAGCCATGGGCGTGGACCGCGACCTCTTTATGTGTGTGTGGCAGCCGTTGGGGCTCATGTGGGCGAAAAAAATTGAAATGTTGGTCCTGATTTTTTAAAAGTTATTCATCAACGAGCTCGGGGATGATTCCGCAAATATAAAATAAATTCTGAAAGAGAGCTTTTCGAATCTGCATTTTTTTTCGCGGTGTGCCGTAGTTGTTGAGATATGGCGATTCTTGTGGGATGAAGTGCCTTCTGCTATGATGGTAATGGGGGCATATCTTTCTTGAAAGCCCAAACCCCGCGCTGTGAATGGGCTTATTCGATCGCTGCTGATGAGAGCTTTCTCACGAGTATTTTGGTTCCGCTCAATGCTTTGATGAAGGTTATTTGTTTTTTCAAAGCACCCGTATTCGGCCTGACGAATGCCGGCACTGCTGTAGCTAGTGGAAGTGGGGGATTGGGGCCAGAGGGACAGACGACAGAGTCCAACGATTGGAGAAACAATATATATACATATATCCATATATATGTACTACATTCACTCGTCGGAAATATAAGATCGGTTGGGACAAATTGCGGGCTATCTCGATCCCATTACAATATTTTCGCGAACCGTTTTTCCCCTTGGTTTCGCGGCGTTACGCGGGACATACAGACCGGACTCTTTTTGACAAGTCCCGCCAAAAGGTTGGTCCTACCCCAGCAGAAGCCACTCGAAATCAACACCCCAACTTTGAACCTCCGGTTATGAGCCTTCCCATCTGCTGGCGAGGCATGTCCGCTGCTGGGGGTGCCTCCCAGGTGTCAAAACACAAGAATCTCAACAGTTCGGCAAGATAGGAGGTGATTCGGCACCTCCTCGCTGGGAGCAACAACGGGATTGTTGTTGCCCTTACCCTAACCCTAACCCTAAACCCGGGGATACCAGCGAACCATCCCTCCTTTTTGAGCGATTTTTTTGTTTCAATCCTTTTGGGTGCCCGCTGCAAAATCAAACCTCTCCGACCTCCCGCAACATCTATATGGCCTTGTAGTAGAAACCGATCTTGTATTCCGGATTTCCCAACCGATCAGATTTCCGTCCAGAGGAAGTACAATTTTTGAGCGAGGCACTTCCCCCTTTTTTTCTCGAGGGGAGCAAGCAGAGTGCTATCGGGAGTGCGTGCATGCATGTATGTGCTTCCCTACGCAATGCACCTTGCACTCACGTCTTTTCTTTTAATATTATTTGCTGCATGGCCTACGAACGAGCCCATCGACGGCACAGTGTAGTAGGTCGGGCAGAGCCACAAAAAAGCGGTCTTGTAAAAACAGCAACGTTCGCCGGAGAGGCGTGGTACGCGCACACCCGGAAATGACCCCCGAGACATGCTGCAGCGTAAACAATAGTAACGCGTCTAGTCTATCACAATCCACGTTGAGGCCACTCTTGTCATTGAGACAGAAGCTCTGCACGGAGTGAGCACACACACCCTCATGACAAAAATGGACCCTCCTGAAGCTGAGGAGATTGAACCACGCCGAAAACCAATGGATCAGCCATGTTCGCTGATGCTCCGCTCGTTGTAGAGCACGCCGATCGGTGAGCAAAAGGGCGCAAATTCGGCACAAAACATCCCTCGGCACAACGTAGATAATCTCGACCGGCCTGGTGGGGTACTCTTTCGAACAAACCCTTTTCGTTTGCCAAGAAACTCGAAGGCACCGCGCTCATGACCCGTCCGAAAATTCTGCTTCAGCACACCGTCGTCACAAAAGAGAGCATCCTCGTCGTCGATTGACGAAGGACGAACATGAGGTTTTGGCCGTTTTTGCTTTCTCGTCTTCTATAAAAACTTTGCGATACGACCGGCGTACGGCGCACTCGCTCTCGCTGTGCCACCACCCCCCTACCTTGTCTACTCGTCTAATCCTACCATCGGTTGTCGTCTACAACTCCCATGCACCGTCGCAACCCGTCGCCGTCCCCCCCCCGGAACCGTACATGAATTCCACGAAATCACTCTCGATCATCAAGGGCAATCGTGCCAATCAACCACACATCAAGCTCGACACTCCAAGGCACCGTGATAGCGACCGATCTTCGAAAACGGTCGGTAAAACAATCTCTCGTTGGAGGTCTCGCTAACACCACAACAGCACCAAACACCACCAATTCATAGATACACCGCGCCCTTTCGGTGCCGAAACCCCTTCTACCGCGCAGCTACAAATATAATCCCGAGATGCCGCCGGGGCATTCCTGTCCACTCGAAATCCCCACCAGAAGGTAGGGCACACACCACCGTATGCGCGTAAATACCCACACGCTGAGGCAGCCGCGGCCAGACACGAGCTACAACACACTCTCGACGGAGACAAACACCCTCGCGCTCTCGCTACAAGGCCGGCGGTTCGAGCGCCGCGGGGTCCCCGAAGTACTTGAAGGCGTGCGGGCCGTACAACCCTTCCAGGTACTCCGCCATGAGCTCGACCGCATCCTGGCGACCGCGGACCCCCTGTTCCACGAACCAGCGCGAGTTCAACAGCTCCACCGTCGAAAGCCGGTCCTAAGGGTGGCGGGCCGAGAAATGGGCCGTGGTCGGTGGAATTGTTGATTGTTTTCAGTAGACTTCGCAGGGTGCTTCTACCAAATACATGAATATGTTGGATAAAGCATGCAATCGGGAAAGTCGGGTCAGGGCTTGGGGAAGGGATACATGCTTAGGGTCTCCGTACCCTCCCTGTTCTATCACAAACTTAATTTCTCGCGAAGGCGGTTTATTGGACGACCCCGGTCTTGGTGCAACCAGTGAAGGCGGGAACAATTCAATTCTGTCCTCCCAGTATCGCTGGAGATGGAACGCGCGTAGATGATGTTACAAAGCTCTTCCGTTTGATGTTGCGCGTTCATGTTGAAGTTTGTGCGGGCTCTCAGAAAGCACGGACATGAACTTTCATACTTCAGGAGTCCTGTGAACCCAGCTGCTACCTGTAGCCAAGAGAAGAATAGGACGCCAGTTAAGAGGGACCACAATCCCTCCAATCCAGTAAAAAACTATAGAAGTCTACTTGCGGGTAGGTCCACCAGCACAAACTTGACACTCTACTGATTCAGACCGCGCCGAAGCACTAAAATCGCACGGAAAAACTCTCCGAGACTTTCTTCAACTGGTTCACATGGCCGAGGAACTAACCCATGCTGGATATGCACAACAACAGAGGCCCCGGACAAAGGGTCATTCCGGCTTTTTCAAAATTTTCAACTGCATTTGTACCAGAAAGATAGAGGCACAACACAAATCAAAACCGCCCCCACACGCCCCCACCCACCTCCGGGTTGACCCTTAGGCAGTCGCCCACGAAGCCGACGAAGGCATCGCTGAGGGGCACTCTGTCCTCTGTGCCGGAGGGCAAGAGCCCGCTGCCGCCGTGCTCTTTCAGGGTCTGCAGGATCTCGATCTGGGAACAACCGTCGGCGTAGGGGGCCTCCTGCTCTCCCGCGGGGGGAAAAAAATTGAGAAAAGGGATTGGGTCGGGGGGGGGCGACAGGTGATGCCAACACTTGGTTGGGGTGGCATGATTGCCGTCTTGCTTTTGTGCCTCTTTTTCGGAGAACGCCAAAAGCAGGAAGAACAACGACCACGCGGAACCAAGCCCTTGTGTTCGACCCGTAACATCAACAAGCCGACTTGTTCGCCAAACCTCCCGCAAGTCGTAGAGGCAGTCCGGAAGGGAGAAAAAGTAGGGGGCACGGAAACGTCGGTTTCAGGAATGCTGTTTGCGGATGATTTTGTCGGTATGTCGGACACCCCTGAGGGACTGCAACCGCAAATTGACGCGGCGAAGAAGTTTACTGATAAGTGGAGATTGTCTGCCAACGTTAAGAAGAGTGCCGTCATGGTATGCAACGAGAACAAGGAGGAACCAGTAGAACATAGATGGAAGTGGGGGATCGAGGAGATTGCAGTAGTGGACCAGTACACATACCT